GCCTCATTCGCTCAACCTGCGGAATGTAATGAATACAGAACATCTCCCTGATGCCAAGTAACTGCAACCCTCTACTCATCAGAATATGTCCCAGTAACATGTCCCGGTACTGGAAGCTTGACCAGTTCCTTCCCCTGCTACTGCTACAATTGTTGTAGCTGCCGCGGCAGCCGTCTCGGCAATGGCTGCATAGCGCTTGTCGAAATACTCAACCATGCCGGTCTCGATAGACCCAACATCTCCGGAAATTGTCCCCGGACAATCTCGATCACCTCCTCCCGGATGATCTCACTGACACGATCCTCTGACAATACTGCCCTATCCTGGCTGCCAGCTCCCGATCCTGACTCGGATCCGTCTCAAGATGTCTCGTAACCACCATTCTGGTCATATACCAGAAAGATCTCTAATAACCCACATAATGACAGGGAACCAACGCCCAACCCAACCCTAGGGGTTGTGACTTCCTTGCTACGCGTATGGGTCATGTGCTTTCAGTAGTACCGACCCATACTACCTTCCACACCTACCCATATTTGTCTCAAGTATCACCACAACACCCTAACAATATACATAAACATAGCGAGCTCTCAATCCTCACCCCTAGAGGAATGCTAAATATCTCATAACTGGCCTCCCGGCCTCTCACAACCCACCCATCCATGAAACGTCCACCAACCCTGCATCACTAGTGTATGCTAGTCATACATAACGCTGGACCCTATAGACTTTCGAATATCTGATCCTACCCTAAGCCCCCAATCAAACAAGAAGAGAACATAAGGCCAAACCAAACATTCTCAGGCTATAAGATCTTAATTATGTATAACCATGATGCATACACTAAGCAACTACAGTAATGATGTCAATCTCATATAAGGAAAACCCTAGGCTAGCAAGCATCATGTAATCAGGCAATTCTATCATGCAATTCCTGAAGATCCCTAGCCTAGTACTAGCATGTTGTTCTAACAAATCATAATATCAAATAACCGTATGGTATTTTGGGGTCTACTTACTGGCTCCGGCTGATCGTACACTTGCATCCTCCATTATTATTTTGGAATCCATTTGAAAATCGTTTTGAAAATCTTTTCTTTGATTTGAGACTGGATTCACATGAATGTTCCTCCAATTCACTCAAACCAAAGCTCTGATACCAACTTGTAACACCCATAAAAAAATCAGGCCAAATTTAAACTTTTTAAAACATTTAGGAACCAACAGTTATTACCAACTTGTTTTCAAAACAGTTCTATATCAGAGTATCCCAGAAACATAGACATAAAAAGTGAGGAGTTGTACGATCATGCCTTTGGCTTGCCACGATTCCCTGATGTACTTGAAACAATAAACTGAAACTGTAAGCCCGAAAGCTTAGTGAGTTCCCCCAAAATACCGACACACTACAAATAACACATATACAAATAACAGCATGTACTGGGTCCACAGCTTTACAGATTGGATTACCCCTGTGCCCACAGTGTGAGTCTGGATTACCTTCCGGGCCTACAACCCACATCTGGATTGCCATCGAGCCCATAGTACGAGTCTCCCTCAGCTCGTATCTGGAATGCTCCCGAGCCCACAGTACGAGTCTGGCATGCCCCACCTGGACCTCAGCTCGTATCTGGAATGCTCTCGGGTTTGTTGATTACCGCACGGAGCAGTATCACCTCAACCCATCCAACATAATATGCCGACATATAACAGATAAGTACACATACAGATAAACAGACAATATCACAGGTAGTCCTACAGACCTACCCTCTAGCATATCAAACTAGCATGCATAACTAACTCATACTCAACATAATACAAACTACTAGGATATCATATCCAATGGGCCGGCCTTGGTGCCTTAGACCCCTTAGTATAGTGAGGATAACTCACCTGGCACTGCTGAAGTCCCGCGGGTAAAGGTCCCGCTGCTGGTTGATAGATTCCCGAACTGTCAACATCAAACAATACCCAATTAATAATTGCGTTCCAAGCCCAAAGTCCAACTCACACTACAAAAACCCAAAAGTCAAATCATAGGCCAGAGCCCAACATATGGCCCAATTTTTCCAATTGGGCCCAGACCTCTACATGGTCTTTCCTTAAGGCCCATCCAATTATTCCAATCTAATTCCCATGGTCCAAAGTCAGATAATCATAAAGGCTTAATTATGGCCCATCTATGGCCCAATATTTCAAATTTGGCCCCAGTCCTAACACGGGCCTTATCCTAAAGCTCATCTAATTATTTTGGTCCATTAACTTGTTCTTTGATAGCCCATCCATAGTCTAATCACCAAAGCCCAATAGGAAGGCCCAACTCAAGGCCCATGTGAAATTAGGGTTTTCACATGAAATGATGATTAGGGTTAAGTGTTCATACTTAACCCATTAAGCACTTAATCCACAAAGGACTTAATCCATTAAGTCCAATATTGCTTAGGTTAATTTGCAATCGATCATTAATTAATATTTTATGTTTATTAAATAATTCCTATGTGTGTCCCGATCAATTCCCACAAATTGGGTTTTATGCCATTAGGGTTTTCCAAACCCTAATTAGGGTTTTCCAACCCAATATTATCCCATTAATCCATTGGTTGGGCTTTTTGGTCACTTTGGGCCTTATTGGGCCCATTAGGGTATCAGTGGGCCTACTAGAGTCTCTTTGGGCCAACTAGGGTTTCATCGGACCCAATTCTGTCCAAGCATCCCAAATGAGTCAATACGCAAGCTAGGCACACCGCCACCTAACGCGGCGGCCGGTGGCGGCAGAAGGCGGCAGCCACCGCCTTACGGTGGTGGTTTAGAGTTTTCTTACTATTCTGATTAATTACAATATTACAACACCATATCCAAACACGCACAAACACAAACTAAGCTACACACACAACCGCGTTGTGGCGGCGGCAGCGGTTGGAGGTGCTAGCCACCACCTCACGGTGGTGGTGGTGGTGGCCCTCTTGTGAAATCCGGTCAACTAGCCACACACGAAAACAGAAAAACACACACCCACACGTCTTCAAATCATGAAAGGAATTTAGCCACCCAAGGTGGCGTAGGGCGGCGATGTGGCACGAAACGGCGGCAATCGGCAACCACATCTTCACGAGTTCGACGCACGACAGCAGCAACCCCAATGGTTCACGGCCCACTCCTTGACTCTTTGCTCCATCTCCAACATTCGGTGGACCTCCAGAGTCGTTATGTTCCCGACAGTGGTGGTCTTTCTACGATGACGGAAAAATGTCCCGCGGACGAGAGCTTCCACGGTCGAAAAGAAGGCATCGTAAGCAACCCCTTCCCCTCGCACCTCCGGTCTTCTCGGCTGACTCACGCCGGCAGTAGAGCAGCGGCAGCAAACTCTGTTGGCAACAGTGGGAGAGGATAGTGGCGAAAGCTAAAGGGCAGCGGGCACTCGTGAGCAAAAGCAGAGGCGGAGAGGCACATTCTCGAGTTCCCGACAACAGCTCCGTCTTGAACAGCATGGCAGCAGCTTCATCGGCGTCCATGGAAGGAGGTAGCAGCGATTGAAGATGAGGCGGAGGTTAGAGAAGTGGCGGCTGAGGTTTGAGCGTCAAGGGTTAGGGTTACTAGGTGGGTAATTTTTAAATACCCCGCCCCTCAAAGACATATTTACATAATAACAAGATCAGTCCCTCCATCTTCTATTCTTTCAAATTTAATCCAGATGTTACCATTTCTACCCTGACTCCAAAAACTCCTTTCAAATTAAATCCGCAATTTACCCAACAGCCCCTCCTTTTACAATATCTTTTCAATCTAAGCCCAACATTTACCAAACAACCCCCTTCTTCAGAAATCCTTACAAAATAAGTCTCGAACTTACACTTTAACCCCCGAAGACTCAATTCTTGTCATTTGGTTTCCCGAAACCAACACCCCGCTAATTATTATTTAATTTGAGCTAATATAATAATATAAAATAATAATAATAATAATTACCTAGCGGTTCCGGGTTTATTATTTAATTACTCTACTTTAAACGGGATGTTACATGACTATACTCCCACTAGCCTTTATATACACACAAGATTCATCTTCACTTCTAGAGAAGTCAAACTCTTTAACTCTCTTGTCAAAGCAAAGATTCCATCTGCAAGAAGCTTGTTTCAATCCATTGATTGATTTCTCAAGCTTACACACTTTAGTGGGGTACTTAGCATCCACAAAACCCTCTAGCTGACTCATGTATGCATCCTCAGCTAATTTTCCATTAAGGAAAGCCGTTTTGACATCCATCTACCAAATTTCATAATCATGAAAGGCATCTATGGCTAGGATAACCCCAATATATTTAATCTAAGCCACTGGTGAGAATGTATCATCATAGTCAACCCCTGGGGTTTGAGTAAATCCCTTCGTAACCAGTAGAGCCTTGAAAGTGTCTACCTTTGCATCCATGTCAGTCTTCTTCTTGAAGATCCATTTGCACCCAACTGTCGTACGAACTGGTACATTGTCAACCAAATTTCAAACTTGGTTGTCATACATGGACTTGATCTCGCTGTCCATTGCCTCTTTGCACTTGGTAGACTCAGGGCCCGCCATTGCTTCCTTGTAATTTGCAATTTCTTCCAAATTTACCAGTGTGTTATCATTGATAAATGTATCACCTTCTACAGTTGGGTTTTTGACACTGTAGCACATCAATGTTTGGTCAATTTGCACATTTAGTCACTAAAGTTTTTTTTGTGCTCAATTGATCCTTAATGTTAGTAAATACCGGCTAATTATCCCTTATGAACTCGGTAAACGGAACAACCGGTGGTATTGCTTATGTGGAATAAGTTTACATTATATATGTCATTTATTTTATCCATGTAGGATTTAGAAGTCAAAATAAACACATTTATTTAGCCAGAACACTCCTTCTTTGCTCTTCCTTTTTCTCATCTTATAGTGATTACGAAGCACTAAACCTAGGGTTCGAAGTCGTTTTCTCCGATCGAAGTCAGTGAGCAGTCAACCAACCCACAATGTCTAGATTGAGGCCAAACCCTGATGGACTCCACCCTATAGTGGAGCTGAACTTCAAAGGTGTTTTTCTTATAAATCCTATCTCGTATATCCATGGTATCAACTTCACTTTCAATGATCCCGATTTTTCTGGAATGACATACGGTGAATGTATCACCTTTCTTGAACGGTTCATGCAAGAAAGTATAAAGAAGTTATACTATTGTGAACCAGGTAAGCCCTTAATATATGGGATAACTGGTATCGCTAATGATGAAGACTATGGGACAGATGGTAAAATTTGTATTGTATGTATGTGGACCATGATGGTCAAGGAATAGAAGATTGGTTTGGTTCTGAAATAGAAGAGGAGGATGGAGATGATTCATGCATTGATGGTGGTAAGAATGAGGAAGAAATTGATAACCTAACAGATGTGGATGTGGACTTTAGTGAGGTCATAGTCACTATGAATAGGACAAAGGGCGATGAACTTCTAAATAGATTATGTGGCGAAGAAGAGGAGGGAAATGATAACAACATAGATGATGATGATGATGATGATGGGAATGAAGAGGATGCCAATGTAACTCAACAACATTCCATTTTTAAAGAGTTAATTCCATGGAAAAAGCAGTTCCCAATACTTGGTATGAGGTTCAAAGATCCATCTCAATTAAAATCAATGTTATGCAACTATGTTGTTGCGAATGGGTACCAACTTTGATTTGAGAAAAAGGATAGGAAAAGATTGTTGGCTATGTGTTGCAAGGGTGAGTGCACATTCAGGTTGTGGGCATCTTGGATGAGTGATGAATCAAGCTTCCAACTTAAGTCTTTAAAGCCAGTCCACAAATGTGCAAGGAACTACAAGTTAGGGTCCATGGTCACTTATGCTTGGATAGGGAGTCATTATACAAGAGAGTTCTTACTTAGACAAAAGATGAGTGTTACAAAGCTAAGAACAGTTATGTCATAGAAGTTTGGTATTCATGTTAGTGTTGGTCAATGCAGGAGAGCTAAGAAATATGCACTCCAACTAATAGATGGTACCCTAGTTGAACATTATGCAAAGTTATGGTCGTATGCAGAAGAGATTGGGAGATCAAATCCAGGTAGCACTATGAAGCTTGATGTAAATCATATGCCAGATGGGAAGAACTACTTTACTAAATTCTATGTTTGATTTGATGCATTGAAGAAGGGGTGGAAGGAGGGATGCATGAAGATAATAGGTTTAGATGGTTGTTTCCTTAAAGGGAACTACAAAGGGCAGTTATTATGTGTTGTTTGAAGGGATCTAAACAATGGGATTTATCGAATTGCATGGGCAGTAGTATGTGTGGAGAATAAGGAAAATTGGAGGTGGTTTTTGGATTTACTCATTGATGACTTGGGACTTAACTTAGGCTATGGATACAGTGTAATATCGGATCAACACAAGGTAATTTAATTGTTTGTAATTAATTTCCCTATCTATTTGCATCCTTATTCACTATATTTGGAATTTGTTAACAGGGTTTGATTGAGACTGTGAAAGAACTCCTTCCATATGTAGAGCACAGGCAGTGTGCCAAGCATATTAGCCAAAACCTTAGGAAAAGGTATAGTGGTGCCCAATATGAAAGCATATTCTGGAAGGCATGTAAAACAACAACAAAGGTAGATTTTAAGGTTTCCATGAAAGAGCTTGAAGTGCTAGACCCAAGTTCTTATCAGTATCTGATGGAAAAAGACCCCAAAACATGGTCAAGGGCCTACTTCCAACCAGGAAGATGTTGTGATGCTGTCGAGAATGGAATGTCATAAAGTTTTAATGTTATGATTGTTGATGCTAGGAAGAAGCCAATTATCACCATGCTAGAGGAGTTGAGGATGTATATGATGGAGAGGGTGTTCAACAAGAAGTGCAAGTGTCTAGGATGGGGAAACCAAATTTGTCCAACAATTAGAGAAAATAGTGAATGAGATTAAGAAGGGTCTAAGGCATTACCAAGATTTACCTAGTGGACTAAATCAATTTGAAGTAAGAGGAACTACAGATGCTTAAGAGGTGGATCTTGAAGAAAGAACTTGCTCATGCAGGCTTTGGCAGCTTAATGGAATCGGTTGTGTCCATTCTGTTGCAGCTATTAGTTTTATGAATAGGGATGTGGAGTCATATGTGGACAAAATGTTTAGTAGCAATACTTACATGAAGGCATACAAGTTTAGGTTAGCACTTATGAATGGAAGTAATTTGTGGCCTGCAACTGATTACACCCCACCTTTACCTCCTGTTCGTAGAACTATGCCTGGGAGACCTGCAACTAAAAGGAAAAGGGATGCAACAGAAAACCCAAACTAGTCAAGTAAAAAATCAAAGAGAACTACCCAAACACAAAACAAAGGTAAGGAGCAGGTGAATGTATCCAAGGCTGGGAAGAAACAAAAATGTAGCCTTTGTAAGATTAAAGGACACAACAAAAGAGCTTGTACTTTGACAAGGCCTCCTAAAATCAAATCTAGAAGAAAAACAAAACAGGTAAATAAGTATTTAAATGGTTAATCTTTACAATTTCTTTTTAAATTTCTAATAATGTTTCATATTGGTCAATAAGGGTGTAACTGAAGCACTCAATGAGGATGATGAAGGTAATCAAGCTAATGCAATGAATTAAGGTGATGAAGTGCATGAGGGTGATCAAGAAGTAAATGATGATGGAGGAGCAGTAAATGATGGTGGACAAGCAGTCAATGAGGTGCATGTGCAACAAGACTATGATGAGGTGGAACTCACTCCTTTGGAGTTTGATACATCAGCAAATGGAAAACCTAGTCAGGTTCATGTGCAAGAACATGAGGCTAGAGAAACACCAGTTGCAACCCTGTTGAAGAAAATCAGGAGGAAGAAATCTGAAAGGATTATCAAGTTGAAACTGGGCAAGAAAGTTGGTGGTGCAGATGCACCTGGGAATTCAGAAGCTAAACCTGTTACTCTAGAATAACTTTAAGTGTTGGTTTATGTGATATGAACATGGTATGTAGTGTTAAATGATGTGTTTTGGTGTATTGTTTCTGTTTTTATGAAACTGCTATTAACTATGTTAGTTTGTATGAAACTATGTTGGTGTATGTGATGTGTATTTTGTGTTAAATAAGATGGTTGTTATTTTGAGCTTTTTGTTTTGTTTATTTGAAGTTGCATGCATGACAAGGACTTGTCTGGTTAAACTGCATGGCAAGGGAATATATTTGCATATATTAATAATTTAAAATTGTCATTGATTATGTCATTATATACCACGTGTGGTCAGTAGTCCATATACCCTTACTAACCCTTACTTTTCCATATATACCCCTGCACAGAACTCTAAACACAATGCACTTTTAAGTGGACCAAGTGAGTTCCTTATGGCCGACAATGTGGTACCCACACTTTAATTTTTAAAAGGAGCACATGCATATTATAAAATTTTAGCAAGGTATATCACAACTAGGATCTTTCATATCATTCATTAAATCTACACAAAGTCATTACAATTGTTCCCATGTACTGCCATCCCATTACATCTACATTCCATTACATCTAACATCCCATGACCATGTACCCATACACTTCCCAAACAAGCATTCAACCAAAAACCTGACTATACATTACAACTAGGATCTAACCATGACCATGTACCCATACACTTCCCAAAAAAGCAAACAACTTTTAACATCCACCCATACACTTTACAAAAAACTAGTTGGAATTATATACCATCAACCATAAACACCTATTTGATCAGCTGCACTTTTCAAGGCCATTTCAACCACATGGAAATGACTACAATTACCATAATAAAGATCCCACACTTCAACATTATGTTTTGCTTCATCAACTCCATCAACTGTGTCTCAAACACTTGCTTATCTGCTTCCATAGCTTGCTGCAACTTAACCAACTTCTTTTGAACGTTCGAAACTTCACTAAACTCTTCTTTCCTTTTCAGCTCAAACCTCATCTTGTGAAGTTGTTCTTTGTAGCAACCCTCCTCCATTTCTTTGTCTTTCCACATAAAGAACTTGCATTTTGGACCTTCAGCTAACTGATTAAAAGGGAAAACCAGAGTTAGGGTTAGGGTTGCAATTAATGAAAATGTGTACATTCCCAGCTCAAAATAACAAATACGGTGTAAGTAAACAAAAGGAATACTCACCAAAGAGTTTTTGCGGTTCCAAAACCTGCGAGCTACATTATCGTCGATCCAGGCAGTCCTTTCCACGCTTAATGCGTCTTGACAATCGCAAGGTGGACAGGGGTCATCATCACGAAGGTTTCCGACACGCAGGAGGTTGATCGATCGACTGGAAGAGGCAGACATTGTTCTGGTTATATCGATTGAGTGTAGAGTATCGGGAGGGAGGCACTGGCCGAATTTGGGGTAACAAAGTACCGCCGATGGTTCAATATAAGGTTCAATTAAGGAAGGTTTCCACGTTAAAGATGGCATGGTCAAATGCTTGTCCACATAAGCCAATACACATCAGCGATGACCCTTAAACCGGTAAAATTTTCTCCCATTCCTTTAACTAGCCGGTATTTACTAACATTATGGATCAATTGAGCACAAAAAAAACTTTAGTGACTAAATGTGCAAATTGACCAAAAATTGATGTGCTACAGTGTCAGAAACCCTTCTTCAGTTATATGGAGAACATACGACACAACCGAAACGCTAACTCTACTAGAACGCCTAAGAGGCAATGACTCGTCAACTGGCTCAACAGGAATTTCTTCCTCAGGTTGAGTGCTACTGCTAGAGGTACCTTCATCATTTGAATCTTGAATTTCTTCAAGATCAATTGTACTCCCACTATCCTATTTGCATATGAGCTCTCTCTCGCGAAAGACTCCCATTTATGCTACGAAGACAACGTTTTCACTAGGTCTGTAGAACAAGTATCCAAAGGATATTTTGGGTAGCCGATGAAAATACATCTCTCACTTCAATGTTCAAGATTATCATGAGTCTCTCATCTAACGAAACCTTCACAACCCCAAACCTTGATATGTGCCAACGAGGGAACCTTACCTGTCCACATCTCGTGAGGGGTTTTGGCAACCTTCTTTGTTTGGACAAGATTAAGAATGTAGGCGGCAGTCTCTAAGGCATATCCCTAAAATGAGATTGGAAGTGAAGCTCGACTCATCAATGAACGAACCATGGCCAACAAGGTTCGATTCTGCCTCTCAGCGACAACATTAATTCGTGGTGGCCTAGGACGTGTTAATTGTGAAACAATTGCACATTCCTTGAGGTAGTCGTGCAACTCGGTACTAAGATACTCACCACATCTTTATCTTCCTGCCTAATTGATTCTCTACTTCTTGTTTGAACTCTTTGAACTTTTCAAAGGTTTCTGACTTATGCTTGATTAAGTAGATATATCCATATCTGCTATAATCATCAGTAAAAGTCACATAAAATCGATCTGCATCCCTTGTAGTGGATCTAAAGGGCCCAAACACATATGTGTGTATGAGATCCAACAATCCTTCACCTCTTTCACAAGAACCAGTGAAAGGTGATTTACTCATCTTTCCAAGTAAATAAGACTCGCATGTATCATCTGATCTTAAGTCAAATGATTCCAACACTCCATCCTTTTGGATTTAGGAAATGTGCTTCTTGTTGACATGTCCAAGATGACTATGCCACAAGCATGCTTTTTCTAAACAATTAGACGAATCAATTTGCAAAACACTATTACCTAAATTGTCTACAACCATCACAGTTTCATACACGCCATCACAAGGTAATGCTTCAAAATAAAATACACCATTTTTATAAGCATAGATAGAACCATTCTCATTATTAAAAGAACATCTAAAACCTTGTCTATATAAACCATGAAATGAAATGATGTTTCTCGTCATTTCTGAAGAATAGCAACAATTGTTCAAATCCAAACATAACCCACTGCTAAGCACTAAAGAATAAACGTCAATCTTGGTAACAAGTGACGATATCCTATTGCCTATAATCAGGTTCATCTTCCCATGCTCCACATCATTTCTTCTTTTTAGCCCCTACAAGTCAGAACAAATGTGAAAACCACATCCTGTATCAAGGACCCAAGAATTAGAATGTGATGAGTTTTTAGATAGGATAATGTAGATACCTGCCGAGGTTGGCTTCGCCTTGCCATACTTTATGTCTTGCAAGTATTTGGGGAAACTTCTTTTCCAATGCCCCTTATCATGGCAATAAAAGCAACTAGCCTCCTTAGGATCAGAGGTAGGAGGAGCATCAGAACTGGCTTTTCATTTTGATCCATTACTTGAGGACCCTGCTTGGGACTTTCCCTTCCAATTCTGCTTAGGAGGATCTTTCCTCTTCTTCCCCTTTCCTTGCCCAATAGCCAAGAGAGGAGCAACAGCAGTACGAGTGGAAGCAATACTCTTTCCCTTCATTCCACTTTCAGCAGTTCTCAACAAGCTCTGAAGCTGAGTCAATGTGGTTTCTTGGCTATTCAAATGATAAGTCATGATCAACTGATCATAAAAGTTAGGAAATGAGTGCAAGACTATATCAATAGCCAATTCCTCATCGAAGTTCACATTGAGCTTCAACAAGTGATCCACATATCGTTTCAAACGTTGCAAGTGGGTCGTGACAGACTCTCCGTCCTTCAACTTGTTGGTAATGAGGGGGTTTACTACCTCGTATCTCTCTTGACGAGCTCGTTGATGGTACTTTTCCATCAACTACTTGTTCATCTCATATGGCCAGTAATCCTCATAGAACCTTTGTAGCCCATGAGTCATAGTATCCACCATGATGCATGCCACTTTGGTAGCATCAGCGCAATGTCTCCTAAACTCATCTACTTATTCTGGAGTAGCTTTTGTTTCATCAATCTCGACGAGCTCTTTTTCGAGCACATACTCCTTGTCCTTGAAGCGTAAAGCCATATTCATGTTTCGCATACAATCGTTATAATTAGTGCCATCAAAAGTGACTTATGAGCAGATGCTCAAGAACGAGACGTTGTTGGAGGGGTTGTTGTTGTTGGAAGAACCAGAAGCATTGTTTGAAGTTGACATCTAAAAAATAAGAAGGACAAGTTTTGATTAGATAAGAATAATCCATAATATAACACTCAAATGAAATATTAAGGCTAGGATCCAACTAAATAATTCACATTTCAGAAAAGGGATGTTGTAATCTAATTGTAAATTATTTAAGGGTAGGTAAATGACAATTTACCAATTTCACCACGAAAAACGAAATTTGAACGAATTAGGTTTTTAAATGAAATTCATATATTTTTTGGGATTCATTGAACTATTCAATGGCATGTTTAATCTCGATTATGCTCTTCCATTTGTGACTAGAATACCGAGGATCGCAAACAAGATGTGAATAACCATGGAAATTAGCTTGGTACTCTCGATGTCATTTATCATCTAATCAATGTGCCAGTTAGCCACACACGCTCCACTAATCAATGATAATTTACGAGACACCCATTGTCACCCTTTATTAGTCCATATTATTTTGTCGGTTAACCACACACGCTCCACTAACAACTTATATAAAGTGTAGTGTGCAATTTCATGGATTAGCATTCACATTATTCCAAAAGTAACTAAGATTGGGAAATTATTGAAAACATTTGGTTTCTTTATTAATTTCACTAAACTTATTAATGAGAATTAAGTGTCCTATAAAACCTGTTTGGCTAACAACCCTCCACCAAACAAGGGAGCAGTGCGTAAGAGTAGATACCCAATGGCGGTCATTTTATAGGCCGCTTCTTTAAACTCCCCTTATAGATCGTCTTCATGAATGAGGCGTACTAGCGGTTCGAATAACTTGTCTTATACATATAGTAAATATTAAACTTTTAATTTTACATATAGTATAAGGTGTATTTTAAACATTTCAAAATACTTGGGTTTTTAAATCTTTAAATTTCGAAATTAAAAACAATTTAAATTTAAATTTAAAATTCAAAAGCTTTTATTTAATAATTATCTATTAATTAAACCTTTAATTAATTTATTAAATCAATTAAGGATTATCCATTAAATTAATCAAATTAATTTAACTTAATCCCTTACCCCTAAATTTCAAAAATATGGGAGGGATATTATAAAATTCTATAATTATCTAGTAAATCACATAAGAAGATAATTACCAAAAGTAAGAACCCTACCGATAACCCTAATTTTCGAAATTACCAAATCTTGGGGAGGAAGGAAAGGTTTTCAATCCTTGCCTTATTTTCGAAAAATCCTAGGGTTAGAAAACCCTAAATTTCGAATTTTGTAGGCCAAAGGGAAGGATTAAAACCCTAATCAAAATATTCGAAAACAAGGGTTAGGAAACCCAAATTTGAAAAAATCATATGGCCAAAGGGATTAATTGCCATAAACCCTAATTGTCAAGTTCAACCAATTGCATCATATTCAATAGAAAACAATCCTAGTCTCTGATACCAATGATGAGTTTTGAGCATAACGAACAATCCCTATGTGTTCATGCAACCCTAATTTGTAGGATCTATGTTTTCACTATTGGACACGCAAGTATTGAACATAAAAATAAACCCTAGGAGGCATCTACTATAATCAAAATTCATAATAAGAGATAGTAGATTAACCTTTGATTGTTATATAGTAATAATAAACAATTCCTTGAAGTTGTTGAAGCTTGAGAACTAGTGTCACAAGTGTAACACCTCTAATGGCTCACAAACACACTTAGCAAGAGGATGCATTAGAGAGGAGGAGGAGGAGGAAGCTTCAAGATTTCGGCTCTTCTTATGGTTAGAATGGTAGTCGAAATCTCAAAGGGGTATTCCCTTTATATAGTTGTTGGTAGCTTAGAGCCAAAGTTAGGGTTTTAAGGTGGAAGCCCTAATTCCTTAGCTTAAGGCCTAAGCAGCCCATGAACTCCCATCCCATAGGCCTTGGACGAAAATTCTAAGGCCTCTCTAGAAGTTTTCGTCCAACCCTTCTAGGGTGGTCCAAGAGCCCAAAACCACACCTATCAATAAATTGCCAAATAGTCCCTACATTTTTAATTAATTCCTTTAATCCCAAAATTAATTTAAAATCAATTTCTGATTAAATATCAATTACATAATATGATTTCCAATTAATATATTATTTTCGTAATACATTAATAAATCATTTATTTCAATTTATTAACCAAATAATAAATTCTTCCTTTTTCTCAAAAGGTCATCCTATCTAGTTGCTAGTATGAAGGCAGCCCAAAAGGACTGTGCTACTGTCAATTTAAGTACATACCAATTATAATTATGGGCTTAGACACCTAATCCAACAAGCACAGGACCCATATTCGAATCG